ACGCTGCTTGGCCTGCTGTGTTCATCCAGCTCTACACCCTCTTATTCGTTTATAAGCGCAAACATCTTTCCCCTTCCCCACTATATCCAGCCCCCTCATGATTTTGAAAACAAGTCTAAGATCTCATCTTAGCTTCTCCCAATGCATTCACATCCTTCTTATAATGTGGTGCCCAGAATCAGCCCCCGCCCTGCCAAAAACACAACTCTTCGGTACATCGATGACTGCTTCACTGCCACTTCATGCTCCCGCTAGGACCTTGAAAACTTTGTTCATTTTGCCTCCAATTTCCACCCCTCTAGAACTTTCACAGCATCCATTTCCGACACTTCCTTCCCTTGACCTGTCTGTCTCCATTTTGGGGTAAACCCTGTCCACTGCCATCCAATACAAAGCCACTGACTCCCATAACTACCTTCATTACAGCTCATCACATCCCACATTCTGCAAGGAATCCATTCCATTCTCCCAGTTCCTTTGCCAGCATCATATCTGTTTGGGTGATGCCACCTTCCAAAACAGTGCTGCTGACATGGCTTGCTTCTCCCATGACTGTGGTTTTCCACACACTGGTTGACAGTGCCCTCAACCGCATCCGACCTATCACCCGTGCTTCTGCCCTTGCCCCTTCCCGTCACCCTCAGCGGTGTGATTAGGTTCCCCTTGTGCTCACTTTTCTTCTCACCAACCTCCACATTCAAAGGATCATTCTCCACCATTTCAGACAACTCCAGCAGAACGCCACCACCAAACACATCTTTCCCCTCAATCCCCCTGTCTGCATTTTGCAGGGATTGTTCCCTCCAGGACACCCTAGTCCCATTCCACGGCCATCAACACCACTTCCCCATCCCACGTAACCACAGAAGGTGCAACACCTGCCCCTTCCCCTCCTCCCTGCTCACCATCCAAGGGCCTAAACAGTCTTTCCAGGTGAAGCAGTATTTCACCTATACCTGCTGCAATCTTGTGTATTGTGTTCACTGCACCCAGCATGGCCTACTTTACATTGGAGAAACCAAACACAGACTGGATGACCGCTTTGCGAAACACCTTCAGTCTGTGTGCAAACAGGACCCTGACCTTCCTGTAGCTGGTCATTTTAACACAGCATCCTGCTCACATGTCCACATATCTGTCCTCGGTACGCTGTAGTGTTCCAGTGAATCACAGTGCAAACTGAAGGAACAACAGCTCATCCTCCGACTAGGCACTATACAGCTTTCTGGACTTCATATTGAGTTCAACACCTTCAAATTGTGAACCAACTCCCATTTCTTCATTTTCTTTTAGCTTTACTTGTTACATTCTGTTATCATGCCCTCTCTCCCCTTCCCCCATCCCAGTGGGACTGTCTGCTCTTTCATGTCTGGCAGTTCGACACACCATTGTTCTGCAGTTTTCACATTCTGCTCACTTAATCTGAACTATAACATCTTTTCTCCACCAGCACCCTATGCCCTACATCCACCACCCACATCCCACATCTGCCTGCCCGCCACAACTATAACAAATGCTGTTCCCTCCACACTTAACTTCAGCTCTGGTGAAGAGTCATCTAGATTTGAAACTTTAGCTTGCTGTCTCTCCATGGATGCTGTCTGACCCACTGTGATCTCCAGCATTGGTTATTTTCAGTATCATCTGTAAGTCCATTGTACCACATCAACAGTGTTACCCTTATTGAGTCTCTCCGCATTACTGAATATAGAATCCCTACAGTGTGGACACAGGCCCTTCGGCCCAACAAGTCCACACCGACCCTCAACGCATCCCACTCAGACCAATTTCCCCTACAACCCACCTAATCTAAACATCCTCGAACACTATGGACAATTTAGCATGGCCAATTTACCTAGCCTGCCCATCTTCGGACTATGGGAGGAAACCAGAGCACCCAGAGGAAATCCATGCAGACACGGGGAGAACACGCAAACTCCACACAGACAGTCGCCCAAGGGTGGAATCGAACTCAGGTTCCTGGCGCTGTGAGGTGGCAGTGCTAACCACTGAGCCACCGTGCTGCCCCTACTGTGATTAGACTTCCTCAGCTTCAAATAACCCCTTCACGGTTTAACTGAACACTTCTGGTTTGGAACTTCTGATCTAAACTGCTTACACTGAAGTAACCAATTTCTTAACAATTCTGTGCTATTTCCTTTCAGGAGCAACCGTTTTACAATCCAGTTTCAGCAAAGACTTCTGCAAACCTCGCCAAACTAAAAACCAAAAGCTGTCTTCGAATAATGATGCTTCTTCTACGCTTAATAAAACACAGTTTACAGAGTCTTCTAACTGAACCCTAATGCACTACACTATTAACTCAGTGCTTGTAAAACTCTCCTGGTGCAAACTGGCACTGTGCCATCCTTTGACAAGTCGTGCATTTGTAATGTGCAATTTTGTCCCATATCTCCATTTTTTTTTTCTTTTTTGCCTAGGCAGCGGAGATAGAGCAGCAGCTCTCAATGCAAGTTCACAATCTCCGTGATGAGTTCCGGGAGAAGAGCACCTCAACAAACCAACACGTAGCGCGCCTGGAGAGCTTACAGGCTGAGGTGAGATCTGCCTGGAGTGCACTGATTCTGTTTTTGTTCCCGTTCCTATTGAGGTACATGCGTGTGTATTCATGGTCCTGCCTAGCTAGATAGACAATGATACTGTGGCAGAATCCATGTGACCAAGCTCCTTGGTGTAACTTTTATAAGGATTTCTTTGGTTGCAATAGGTATTGACGTTCAGTTATCCTTCTTTAACTTTAGCTGACACCTCTATGAAAAGTTGACAGAATGCAGTCCTCCTATTGTCCCAAAGCTTGTAGTCATAAATTAAAATAAGTACTGAAACACAGAGCCTCTTTTATTGGTCATCTTGCATGGAAAGGATCTTAAGTGACCATAAACAATTGCAGGAGCAGGGCAAGTCTAGTGCTTCTCGACTCACACAAGCTTTCCATGAAAATCAAATGGTTTATGTTTCAAAATAACAATAAAAATCATGCCAACTTCCAATTTCCATGTTGTCTTTGGATTCATTTGCTCCGGACCCCTAGCCTTGAGGAATATGAGCGTTATAAAATAGAATCAAAGATAAACCATTCAGCCCCACAAGTCTGCTCCACTGTTCAAGAAGATCAAGGCTGATCTGTTCCAAATTCAGTATTCCCCTCTGCCCCCATAACCTTTGATTCCCCTCCCTAACAAGAATCTTTCCACCTTTGTCTTAAAGAATATTTAATGACCTCACTTCCACTGCCTTCTGAGGCAGAGAGTTTCAAAGTCGTACAACCCTATGAAAACTACTTTTCTCATCTTTATCCTAAAGGGGCGAGCCCAATATTAAAACTCTGCTCCCTAGTTCTTGCTGACTGACAGGAGGCAACGTGCTTTCCACACACCTTGTCAAGGCCATTCAGGATCTTATAGTCTTCAATAAGTTATCCTTCACTCTTCTAAACTCCAGTGGAATAAACCCAATCTGTCCTATCCACCCTCGTAATACAACCCATCATTCCAACTATTAAAGTAATTAATCTCCTCCGAACCACCTCCATTTGTAGCCTTTCTTAAACAATTAGAGTAAAACTGTACAAGGTTTTCAACGTAGTCTCACCAATACCCTGTGTAACTGAAGCATAACGTTTTTCATTTCATATTAATTTACTCTCCTATCAAAGGATAGCATCACATTAGCCTCCTGCTTGCATTCTGTAACTGCATACAGCCCTTTTATAGCTACAGCATATAAATCCCTCTGCACCTTGGATTTTCACAGTCATTCCCTATTTGAGTAATGCTCTACTATCTTCGGTCTTTCTGCCAAGTGACCAACTTTACATTTTCCCACTTAATGCTCCACCTTCTAGATTTTTGCCCACCGTCACAGTCTATCTCTATCCATCTGCAAACTCCTTAAGTCTTCTACTCAACATACTTTTCTACCAACTTTGTTGCTCTGCAAATTTAGCTACGTTTCTCTCCCCTTATCGAAGTCCTTGATATAAATTGTACAAAGTTGAGGTCCCAGCACAGACCCTGTGGGACTCGATGATCACATCCTACCAATCAGACAAAGACCCAGTTTTATGTGTGCAGTATTTCCTGTTAGCCAGACAATCCTCTTTCCACTCTAATATGTTACCTTCTACACCACAAATCTTTATTTTCTTAAATAACCAACGATGTGATGTCTTATTAAGTACCTTCCGGAAACAAGCATTTGGAATATCTGGTACAAGTCTAAGAAGTGTGCATGTATTAGCATTTCAAAACTATTGATATATTAGCGAAAGAAAGTGGACTTATTTCATTTCTGATCAATCAAAAGCAGCATTAATAAGCATTGACTCTTTCCCTGAAAAATTAGAATCTGGGAAGTTTCATATCCTCCAATTGCTTTCATCTGTCTGCTTTCACAGTTGTGTAATTATTATTCAGTTTGAGGAATGATGGAGTTCTGCTCCCATCTCAGTAAGTGAGAGTGTAAGTGTGCCTCTGTCATGTAAATGAGGTTTCAGTCCATGCAGCCCATTGTGCAAGCGAATCTCCATGTAATGGGTGAATTGGGTGTGAGCCTGAGTGACTCCAGTTAATGTGGAGGTATGAAATAACTCCACTGCATATTTAGGCCCACACTGGTTCAAGTTGGCAGCAGACAGTAGTTGATCAACTGCAAAATCACATCTAGTCCCATTATTCTCACCCAAAGTTCATGCACGTGTATTTGCAATAGGAATACCTGGGTTGTGATCGGCATAATTAAGCTCATCAGTTTTTAACCCTATCTCAGACTGGGAATTGAGCTCAATTGGACCACCTGTGTACAGTTTCAGATCAGCAAACTCAACACAGGCAGGACATTTGTAGATAGCACTTTGTAGCAGCACCGTTTTGGTGCTCTTCATTATTTTTAGGCAGTAAGCATCTCCAAAGAGAGAGAAAATCTAACCAACTCTCCTGCCATTCACTGGCACTGCTCTTCCCAGATCCCTCACTATCAACATCCTAGGGTTTACCATTGACCAGAATTTAACTGGATCAGCCATATAAATACTGAGGCTGAGAATTCTGTAGCGACTCATTTGATTGCCCAGTGCCGATCCATCATCTACAAAGCCGAAGGTTAGTAATGTGATGGATTGGGTGGATGGGATGGATGCAGTTCCCACAACACCAGGTAGCCCAATGCAACTCAATGGATTGTATCCCATTAACCACTTTAAACATTCACTTCACAGGGCTGTTGTGAGTAGCATCTACAAGATGCTCTGTAGCAATTCATCAAGGTGGTTGAATAGCAATTCTCAAAACCATGATGTCTAACACCTCGAGCAACAAGAACGGCAGGAATGTGGGAACCACCTCCAGGCTCCTCTCCAAGCTGCACATCTTCCTGATCTAGAAGTATATTGCTGTTTTTTTGTTGCGTGAACAGCTCCCTCCCACAGTGGGATGTGGGACTCTGGTCATTGACTTCAACACAAAAGAATTATGGGATTCAGGAGGATGAGTCTTCATTACTTTCTCAAGGGCTGTTAGAGATGGCCATTAAAGGTTGACATTGACAGTGATGCCAATAGTTTGAATTCTTGAAAGAGAAGGCTGCTCACCAACTAAATTTCTGAATCCGTGAGTAATGGAACTTTATAGCCCTGGAAGTTTTGTATTGCATACTCACCAGATAGGAGAAAATGTTGTTGATCTGGCTGGAGCAATACGAGAGTCTGTTGTTTAACGTTGTGGTATATGACACCAAGAGGACACTTGAACTCCCTTTGGTGTGTGGATTGTGACTGACTATTGTGAGGTCCAGTCTTATAAAGTGAAAAGGCAGCATGTGCTCCCTGCCACATCCAGCATTAGTATGTTTGGGAGAAGTGCCTGTGGTATGTGAATGTATGTGGGAGTGCAGTATTCTGTGCCTGGTCGGAGTTATGTGGCAACATCCTGAATTGTCAGATTCTTGGTGTGTAGGTTACAGAGTTTCACTGAAATAATCTCTCTGATATAGTAGTTTAGAATGTGTTGGATCTCCCGTCAGTGAGAGCAGGCCCTGGCTCTGCAACACCGTAACATCACACCATCAGAATAAAAGCTAGAAAAGCAAGATACTTCTGTTAGGGGGAAAAAACAATATTAATGATTCTTCCCACGCCTAAAACATAAATCACTGAAATCTAAAAGCTTCTGCTCATTACTGTTAATTTTTTTTTCCCTTCCCTTTGGCTGTGTGTGGTGATGTGGAGCAGCAGATTCTAGAAGTAAGTACCTATACATTCTACCTGATTCTTCAACTCCTCTCAATCATTCTTCATTACTCAAATTGAATCCTTGATCCCCATCACTGGATTCAGTGGCTGGCTGCCCCTTTGGACACACAAACACAGTAAACATCCCATCCACTCAGTGTAGAACTGAAGCTTCTTTTGATTGTGATCAGTTAGCATTTGAGAGCTACAATTACAACCAATTGTAACTTTGGGATTTGGGAGCTTCAGTTAGAGCCACCGGGGGTTTTGAATTCCCAGAGGCTCTGTCTATCAAATATTTTCTTTCAATCCCATGGCTTTTCATTCCTTGTTTGGTTTGTCTTTACCCTGATCTAACCTCTTCCCTATTGATTTGTTTTTCTAGTCATATTTTTTCAGCCCTATTGCTTTACTGCACCTCCATGGCCCATGCCTTCACTGCCCTAGATCACACCCTGTCTCACTACTGTCACTGTATGTGCTGTGCACTTTTCTAACACCTAACTTTACCGCCACATCTCAGATAAAGGCACTTACAGAGCGAAAACGTGAACTGGAGCGACGCATCAGTGCAATGATTGAGGAGAATGAACTATTGCAGAGCACGATTGAGGACCTTCAAGACCGAGTGATGATGGCAGAGCGACAGAGCCATAACAAAGACTTACAGGTGAGAAGGAGCAGAGTATGTGCATAAGAAAGGGAGCTAACACAAAGATACTGTATTGAAGAATGAGGTCAGAAACATGCACTGCAAAGATACTGTGAATCTCCATACCTTGGATAAATTTATCATGTTTAAACTAGGATTATCAGCAATAGTAGCCAAAGTCACTGAGTGAGTTATTGGGCTTGTAGTGGTTCTGACCGAACCCAAGAAATGGCCATAGAGAAGGAAAGAGTCAGAGGTGGGCCATCTTAAGGTGAGGGAAGGATGGATGTTGGAAATAAAATGGATGAAATTTTCCAGTTTAAGACTAGAGCAGGAAATTGAATCAGCAGGAGATAAGAATTGATGCCTGCTTTAGTGTGAAAAAGAAGGGAATAAAAATAGAAAAATTCGTGAAGTGTTAGCCAATGAATCATCGATGAATCACAAATGACTTTTAATCTGAGTATTCTGGTAAGGTCTTGTTTACCTTTAGTATTAAAAGAGGGAAAACCTTGCAGATTCACTTCAAGTGAAAGCTTTCTGATGTGACACAGTTGGCCATGATTTTGCAAAGATGGGGCAGTATTAGCCAGTGGGGACCGGAGGAATGAGGACAGATCTGGAATGGAGGAAAACTGACACCAGGCAGTGGAAGGGAATTTGGAGGAAGCAGATGAAGTGAAAATACATCAGAAAATATCCAGGATGTAGTGGGCAGCCTTAATGACCAGTGAAAATTTACCCCAACAATATGGTTCACAAGTGGCATTGATCATACAGTGTTAAGGGCTCACAACAGTTCTAAAATCCTTCTGAATATTACAGACACACAGACCAGTAATGAGGCAGATTCTTTGTGTGAATCATCAGATTGCCTGGCAGCTTTAATCTCCATTGGTTAAGTGCTTACTCTTTTTTTCAGTTGTTCAACTTTTCCAATTGGCTGTTTTCTACCTTTAGTATTCACCAATGTAATACACACAATTTTCCACCAGTTATTTTCTGCGAAAAAAGAAATCCTGAGGTACAATTGTCTGGAGAGTAACTACGCAAAAGGCAACTGTTTCACTTCCGCTTGCTTTCCTTGACAATTTCTGGCCATGAGATCGCAAACAGCCTCTAGGGCCTAAAGCCCCACAGTCTTGAAAGAATATTAGAGTCATAGAGCATGGAAACAGACCCTTCAGTCCAACCTGTTCTGTGCCAAACATAATCCCAAACTGAACTAGTCCCACCTGTCAGCTGCTGGCCCATATCCCTCCAAACCTTTCCTATTCATGTACTTATCCAAATGTCTTTTAAATGTTGTAACTGTCCACATCTACCACTTCCTCAGGAGGTTCATTCCACATGCAAACCTCCTTCTGTGTAAAAGCTTTGGCCCTCATGTCTTTTTTAAAATCTCTCTCCTCTCACCTTGGAAACATGCTCCCTACTGTTTAAATCTTGCAATTTAGGGAAAAAACACCTACCATTAACCCTATCTATCCCCCTCATGATTTTATAAGCCTCCATAACATCATCTCTCAATCTCCTATGCTCCAGTGGAAAAAGTCCCAACCTGTCCAGCCTTTCTTTATAACTTGAACCTTCCATAGCCGGCAACATCCCGGTAAATCTTTTCCGAACCCTGTCTAGCTTAATAATATCCTTCCTATAACTGGGCCACCAGAACTGGACGCAGTGTTCCAGAAGAGGCCTCACCAATCTGCTGTACAACCTCAACATGACTTCCTAACTTGCCTCACTTTTGCAGGTACTTTCCTAATTCACATGTTTGTTTCTTTCTCAACAAAATGGCATAAATAATATTTTAAAATTGTCTCCCCACAATGGCCCTGAAAAGAGGCTGTTCTTTTATCTCATTGTGGCCTTGTCTGTGCATCAAGCCGGTTGTCATGAATGTCCCTGATCTCAGAAACACCCTTTATTACGTTAAGAAAAGAGTTAAAGTGAACTTTAAAACGTTCTATGAAAAGTGAGTCAGAGAATTCATAATAGAAGTTGTAGATATGGGATGAACAGATATTTTGCATCAGCCTTCACTCTAGAGGATATAAATAACATTCCGGAAGCAGTGATAAATCAGGAAATGGAAGGGAGGGGGTATCTGCAGAAAAATATAATCACCAGGGAAGTGGTACTGAGGAAATTGTTGGAGCTATGAGCTGGTAAGTGCCTGGGTCCTGTTGGACTTCATCCTTGGGTCTTAAAGGAAGTGGCTCATGAGATAGTTAAATCAGAATCGATGCATCTTCAAAACTTCCTTGATTTGGGGACAATTCCCATTAGATTCAAAAGGGAAGCAGACAAAGCAGGAAACTACAGCCCAGTTATTTAGTATATAAGCAGAGCACTTGGATTAGTTCAAAGTATCAGGCAGAGTCAGCATGGTTCTGTGAAAGAGAAATCCTGTTTAACCAATCTATTTGAATTCTTCAAGGAAATGTGCTATGGATAAAGGGAAATAGTGGATGTTTTGTACTTAGATTTTCAAAAGGCATTCAATAAAGTGCTGTATCAATGGTTGTTGCAAAAATAAACAAGCTCATGGTGTGGGGGTAATAAGTTGGCATAGATAGAAGATTGGCTGGCTAATGGGAAGTAGGTTTGAGTGGGTCATTTTCAGTTGGCAAGGTGTAATAGGTTTTGTGTCAGAGGAATTAGTACTGGGTCTCAACTTCTTGCTGTCAAATGACTTGGATGATGGGACCAAAAGTACAGAGCTAAATCTATCAATTGCACCAAGGTAGGTAGGAAAGTAAGTTGTGCTGAGGATATAATAATGCCACAAGGGGATATCAGTAGGTGAAATGAGTGTGCAAAGATCTTGTAGATGGAATTTAACATGGGAAAATGTGAAATTGTCCATTTTGACAGGAAGAATAGAAATGGAACCATGTTATCTAAATGGTCAGAGATTACAGACCTGAGAGATTCTGGGTTTTCTAACACAAAAAACATAGAAACACAGAAATACAAGATAACAAGGTGTAGAGCTGGATGAACACAGCAGGCCAAGCAGCATCAGAGGAGCAGGAAAGCTGACGTTTCGGGTCTGGACCCTT